AGCTGTTTCAATTAAACAAGTTGGTTCTGTTCTATGATGTTCTATAGCATTAAAGTTACAAGGATTACCAACAGGGTGCAGCACTATTATTTCTTTTACATTTATGACAACAGCTAATTTGTAACCAAAAGGTGAGTGAGCATAGCGAACAAACTTCAACCTGGAGGCGAGTTAGCGTAGTGAACGAGCTAACCAGGGCCCTGTTTCATAAAACTACTAGTCTAGTATTTACTAGTCCATGGACTAGTAATACTAGTGTATTTTACAAGTCTACGTTTCAAAAACCTACTAGTGTAAAATACTAGTTACTAGTGTAGGGACTAGTATTACTAGTGGTTTTTACTAGTGTAGATAGCAATGTGTTTCATAAAGTTTTACTCTTGTAAATTACACTAGTAAATACTTGCTATTTTCTACCAACCTCTCTTCACCCGTATTATTTGAAGTAGACTAGTATTTTTGAAAAGAGTTTTTATTTCATTACTCACATCATTAAAAAAATGAATTATTAAGTTCTTTTTGCAAGTGCAAATTGGCTCACGTTTGCAATTTAAAATAAAAATAGATCTGTGAGTGCTAAAATGATAATTATTAGATATAAATTACAATCAATAGATGTGGCGTAGTACAAAATGAGAGAAATAGAATTTTGTAATGTCCATACAATCGCCCTATTAGAATTAATTATAATTATAAGTTATCAATTTTAGTCTAATTTTACACTTGAGTTAAATTTCATGGTTATATCAACTATTTAGCCATCACAGAGAAATTATTTTTAAGCTTTGAGAGAAACCATATTAAAACCACATACCGTATTGCATACAAAGATGTAACAAATGTATCCAACATTGCAACATTAATCAGATTATTTTACACCCAAGGCTCTCGGTTTTATTTAAAGACATTTTAATAGGAAATAATGGTAAGACAATTTTAAAGAGGAGTTGCATTGTATTTATTTATTGAGGTGCTTGTTATTTACTTCCCTAAACAGCTGAAACCCTGTGATATACTAACAATTTTGTAGGCCTATATTTGATTTTGGACGTTGAACTGAACTGCTTATATAAAAACATTACTTTTAATCCATTTTGGTATTCGGAATTTGTTATTCAAAGTAATAAAAAAAATTGATGTTGATTAGAGGTGTTGTTTTAATGAAAAAACATGGTAAAGTTTAATTAATGGAATTAAAAGTATAGTGAGTGGCATAGATTTGAACCAGGGACCCGCCACATGACTAGCGAGAACTCTAACTCTGAGCTATGCCCTGCCCTAGCGACTACGCAATGTTTTACTATACTTGAAAACCTACTCCATTGCTTGTAACGTTGCGATTATTTGTTACATCAAGAAACGTTTAGGCTTATTATTCATGGTTTGTAGACTCAAAATAAGAATATTACCAAATGGTGTTCAACCCAAATATCCTTATGCATTCGAATAATTGAAAACATAGGTAAGGGTACTTGAAACCGAATGTAAACAAAATGTCCTTAGACGATTTAATTACATTCAAAATTTGAGCATTCTTTTCTTTACTCATAGCAAGCTTAATTTTATATGTCAGAATAAAACAAAAACTATACAAATCACAGCGAATGCGGCAGCAACAGATCAACTTCCACCCAACTGTTGAGCGCCGCAACTAGGCCTACAACCGGCTACTACAATCACCGTGTTGATTGCAGCGACGCGACGCCGCGCCGGCGCGTCGGCGGGCTCATTGATGAACATAAATAATAGCGGTTTGATAAATAATGTGTGATTGTTTTACTTATGTGTCTATATAGTTATTAATTAAAAGAAAACACTGCGTTTCTACAACTATTTACTTTTTGTATCAAATGAAAACAAAATTAAAACCCTTTATAAAGGGTTTGAAAACCCGTGATTGAGGTTAGAAATTTGTTTTGAAAATTTACCTTGTAAAGTTGATCACGTGACTAGTAGTTTTGGTCACGTGACTAGTAAAATACACTAGTATTTACTAGCGGTATAAAAACGTTTATGAAACACAAATTAGTAGGACAGGTAAATACGGGACTAGTATTTACTAGACTAGTAATTACTAGACTAGTATCTTTATGAAACAGGGCCCTGAAGGCAAGTGAGCGTAGCGAACGAGCTAACCTGAAGGCAAGTGAGCGCAGCGAACGAGCTCCAACCTAAAGGTGAGTGAGCGTAGCGAACAAGCTCCAACCTAAAGGTGAGTGAGCGTAGCGAACGAACTTCAACCTAAAGGTGAGTGAGCGTAGCGAACGAACTTCAACCTAAAGGTGAGTGAGCGTAGCGAACGAACTTCAACCAGGACGTGATTGAGCCATGCGAACGAGATCATCTTGAAAATACTGTCATTAATAACCATGAATGAAAATAACCATTAATAATTAAGCTAGCATAACCTAGCATTAATATAAGAGCAATTATAACGAATCGGTTATCCTTTGTACTATATGTGTTTCATTAGTTGTCGTAAGTATTTTAATTTAGTAATAAGCACTTCATATACAATAAGACAATTAATCGTTATGGTACTTAAATTATAAATAGTCAAAGGCAAGACAACGTCTGCCGGGTTCAGCTAGTTATTTATAAATTAAAAACATAAACTTAATTGTAAACAATCCTCCTTTAACAGTTATCATTGTGTATCACAGCTTTTTGTCGCTGCTTGGTTCAAATTAACTATTGTCATAAATGCATAAAATATGAATAGTGCTGCACCATGTTAGTAAACCATATAACTTTTTAATGACATTGAATATCATAGAACCAACTTGTGTACCTAGTTGAAACAGCTGGAAAAATGCTTTAATTCCTTTTAAATATGAGTAATCATAATAAATTAATAATGAGTTAAATCTATATCGCGCCACTCATCCTACACTCATCCTCCACGCATATTTGGGTTAAAATACGCACATAGTGGCGTCCCCATCTTAAATAATTGATAATTGATAATTGATAAGGTTAACATGGGTCACTCCAGAGCCACTGGGGCGGAGCTCGAAAGAACTTTTAGATTTATGTCTATTATGTTGGTTTACCTTAAGAATACCACATAAATATGTCTATATGTTAATCGGTAATGTAAGCTATCATCATACCAAATTTCAACCCAATTCAACCAGTATTTAATGGGTGATTGAACTTCAAACAAACAAACATACAAAAAAACAAACACACAAACTTTCACATTTATAATTGATTAGTATGACTGTAACATCTTTATTGCGCCATGTCAGCTCTCGACTGTTGAGTTACCGGGTGTCAAGCTAGTGAGGTTTTATTGTAGTTGAAAAATGTTTTCAAACCACAATTCTTGTAAATTTGAAATTCAAGCCTGACGTCCTAATCCACATGTAATAATAACCAGTAGTAAGTCAGCAACATGTTTTCTTTCCTCTAAGATGACAATATTGAAATTTTCCTCAATTTTAAAAAATGGTGAAGAGAGGTCAATTGAAATATGACTTTGAGTTAAACTAGAACCACTTTTTAGCAATTAATTGGTAAGACAACAAACACATCAGGTCTAACTGTTAAATTACAGCAATTCACTTAGGCCTATATGAATACATTAGCCCACAGCAGTGTTACAAAAACTCTTTTCTGGTGTCTCTTCTTTGTCTTGGATTTTTTTAGTGACCCATTTACTTAATAATATTAACTAGAGGACCCATGCTGCTCCACAGTGTTAAAATAAATATAATATCCGAGAAATAAACAAATTTATGATTTTTGATTGAGTAATACAGTATCTTGAGCTTAAACTGAATCAAACGATCAATAGCTCAAATTAAAGCATATATTTTACTGATTATTTTGAGTCTAAAACATATAGAAACACTCCTCGCCGCAGCAAACCTGCCGACTAGACGAATTTCCAATTGTCTGAATTGATCTTCAATTAAATCTATATAAATAACATTAGATTTAGCGAGTACCTAGGTTTCCTTTTAGGAAACTAATAAAGTGTACTTTTTTTGTAAAATATTAATAGCTTAGTATAAAATAAATAAAATTGTCAAGTTTTATCAAAATGTATCCATAAACAAGCAAACTATAACATTTTACAATACTCTCCATAAAAATAACATGGGAATTTTAAATTTACAATTTTTAGAATTTTCTCTGTTACCAATAGCCATACAAAAACACTTTGATATATACTAAATTATTTGTTTTTTTTAAGCTCTTTACCTCTAGAGAGAAATTGGGAAATTATCTGTTTTGAGGGTCGAAAATGAGAAAAACCATTTTTATACCATAAAATCCCCCGTTCCCATGGTGCGATCATGATAGTGCTGCACCCTGTTGGTTAACCTATTAACTTTTTGATGCTATCAAAGAAAACCCACCGAAGAATCAAACAAAAAAAATCATGAGGTTAACATGAGAAAACTCCAGAGCCACTGGGGCGGAGTAGATTGGATGGATCACAAAATTGATGGTGTATAAATCTATTCTATGAAATTCTACACGTATGTACCAAGTTTGGTTTCAATCGGTCCAATGGTGTCCGAGCTCATAACGTTCAAATATATATAAAAATAAAAACCAAATTTAACCCCCTTAATAAATAGGCCTACATGGGGAGCAAAGTTTGTTTACGTTGAAGCCATTATTTAACGTATTAGGATAAATTAATGCTATTAGATACCCTGGTATTAGGTTAGTGTGTGTTGGAATAAATTCTATATAATTAAGAAAAGTTTATAAAACGTTAAATCAGCGAGCTATTATTTTTCAACACATCCTTTAATATTAAATTTAAACTCAAACCACTACAAAGAACAATAAAATCATTAATTAGCATAGAGAACAAAATTTCCAAAAAGTATAAAATATTTAGAATATGTTTCAAATTAAATATGTATATAACAAAAAAAAACTGACAAATTGTAACACTAAATACCTACCCTGTTATTTGGGAATTTTAATAAGAGTTACGTTATGACATTATGGTCTTGCTAATTATGATAATTTTGCAGGACCTTGAAGGAGCAAGTAGAATCTGCTATGGACAAACTGGTTGTCTTATTTGGAGTGGAGATTCTTAACATTATACCTGGTAGGGTGTCTACTGAGGTCGATGCTAGGTATGTATTTTACATAATTAAAATAACTAGGTTCCAAGTTTCTAAACATTGGCAATATTTGTGTACTACTACTGTGCAAGAGTTTTAATGATGGTTACAAGTATAGTCAGTTAATTGATGTCCAGAAAAATTTACATCCTCCTTAATTCCTCTCTCTCTCCCTCCCCCAGAGACACTTGGACAGCAACAAAAAGTTAAATAATACTCAACAACAACGTTGTTTTACTTCCCTATATAGATTAAATTAGAAATTATTTTCTGTAAAGACTGAGGTGCTTCTGCGAAGTATCTATCGCTCTCTAAGCACTTTAGTTATGAACCGTGTACATTCACCTAATAGGTTTTACTTTTGGTCAGATTTGTTTACATTTTGGGCCCTGAATCATAGCCTCTTCTAATACAAAGTCACACCCATCACTATGGCAACGCTGCAATCCCCTCCACTCACAGCCCTTCTCGCCACAGTCACTACATGACTGAAAACGTACTGTTATCATATTGATTAACCAATGGTCGATGTGCGCCACTGTTGGCTATAGCCAGTACTGAGTACAACAGCTCATCATTAAGATCTAATGATGTCTGCTTGATTAGCAACCACTGGAGACAACTAGCTTAGCTACCTGGCCTAACAATGGCTGAGCTGTCTAAGGTAGTTAAGGGTTGTGCCGCTAGAGCCTACACGACATGGCTTCAGACAGTCGTTATAGGTTATAACGGCTATGGACACATGTCTTTTTTATTGTTCTAAAAGTTTAAAAGTTATGTTTAGTTTAAGATTATATTGTCTGATGATATAAAACAGAATTATAACGTAATAATTAAAAGCACATTATTTGATAACTTGGTAATTTTTGTATTTGTGTATTGAAAACCGAATTTGGTTCATATTCCACTTGTGGATATGGTTTATGTGCCTTTTAACCCATAAATACATAGTAAACCCACTCACAGTAACTCCGAAATGCTGTTTAAAAGTTTCTACCGGTGGCGCTTATCAGAGTTTTAGGGATCACTTTAAGTACCACTTGTAGTACCCATGTATGTTTCAACAAAATTTGCTAGAGTGAACTTAGCTTTGAGATGACTATATAACACAAATAAAAGTCTTTTGTAGGACTCTTTGAACAGAAAACAGCCTTTAACATCAGGGCCGGATTTCCCAATAGGCCCGGTAGGCCCGGGCCTATGGGCGCGAGCTCCCAGAGGGCGCAAGGCCGAGAGAATTTTTTTTTTATATCTAAAAATAAAAGTAAATAGTCATAGTTGATTAAAAAAAACTCTGGCTAATAAATCATTCTGATTCTGAAGTTCACAGAAAGAAATAATATTGTTAGAAGATTTAAACTATTTCTCAGAAATACGCATCAATTTCGTTACAACATTGGTACGGGAGGCTGTAGGGATGTTGACGAGCGCCCGAGCTGTACGCATCGTATTGCCACTGCACTGCTACTATGTTGGCTCGGTGCTACTGATCAGAGTAATGAGGGGCGCATGCGTGCTAGACACTGTTACCACAAAACACGCAAAACAAATAACTCACAAAACAAAAGTTATTGACTAATCTTTCGATTAGTTTATAACAATCTGCAGGATCAAGTTAAAATATATAATACGTTGTTGTGTTGAATATTTAAAAAAATGATTAATTTATCTTTAAAATTAACGAAAAAATATTAATTTCAGATTGCAACAGGGTTTCGACTAATTCAATAACCTCCAAAGCACCTTTAATGCTGTAATTTTCTCCTCAGACCTCGGATCGGTATGGTTGGCCGGAATATTGCTCTGTAGTCTGTTTTGATTTGGAAAAATAACCTAGATGCAGTACCACCATAGATTAAATATAACTAAAGTCGACTTCCTATCACATTGTTGATTCAAATTCTTTTTCATGTCTAGTTCACGTTGGTGACGTTTTGACGTACAGTACTTTTGTTTCTATTATTTTAGGGTTAGTTCTATGATGTGTTTTAATTTCTTGTAATATAACCAGGAGACGACCTATTGTTTATGATTATATCGTTTTATTTTGGATAAACTAAGTTTAAATAGGCTAACAAGAATTGTTTTCAGCTAATCCATAATGATGACGAATCTACTAAAGGAGTATGTTTAATCTATGGTATCACGTAGGCTACTGTGTAGTATGGAGTTCATGTTTTTGGGCCTGAAATTGGAATCAATGGGCCATGTTTTTTGCAGGAATGCTCGGTGGATTGAGTTGAGTTGTTTTGTTGTTTTGTTTCAGTCCGTCAAACGTGAGCATTTACTAAAAGCATAAGATTGCTAAAAGTGTTTAACACGACATTTTGTTAGGGCTAAATGAGTAAATTCTTAAAAAAAACTTGCAATGATAAAATTCCGACGAGGAGTGGTATTCAAGCAATTAACTTAGGCCTATGGGTATGATAACTTTGACCAGACCAAGGGGCGGAAAATGATTTGGGCCTAGGGGCGCCGAAATGCTAAATCCGGCCCTGTTTAACATTCAATAATTTATTAACCGAAATAATAAGTTATCCAAAATATCCCCGCCCCCTTTATTTCGGTCAATTGTTGTTTGCTGTAATATAATTTTTGCCAGTTATGAGTATATTATTCTCAAACAGTGTCTATCTATAGACTATAACTTATTATTTTGAATTGTTACACTTAACTTTCATTTATTGCTTTTTTGAAATTAAGATTAGTAGGCCTAAGTAGTAATCAATTTAGTGTCCTTATTACATTTATTATATTTGTTATAGTAAAAAGAAAATTCTGTTGTAGATAGTTAAAGGTCAATAATTCCATTTGTTACATTTTGGTACTCAAACATTTTTGTTGTAAAAATCATATTTTATATTTTTATCATACTACCATAGATAAAACATAGTCCTAAGGGACTATGTTTTTTTCTATGATACTACTAAGTTAATTTTTTCAGGTTGTCTTTTGACAAGGAAGCAAGCATTGGAAAGGCTAAAAAATACATAAAAATGTATGAAGAACACGGAATCAAGAAAGAACGAATTTTGATTAAACTTGCCTCAACGTGGGAAGGCATTCAGGCAGCCAGGTAACTGGGTCTAGGCTTGATATTAGCAAGTAATATAAACAAGATGTTTAAGTATTGATACAAGCTTACAGTGTGGAAGTGACATTACAACTAGTTTAATTGTCAATGTAGGATCAAGACAGTGATTTATTCTCTCATAACTTGCCATCAAAGGTTGGGGTAAGGCGAGGTATTGGATACTTCGTACTTCTCTATGCAGATTAAATTATTCTCCTCTACTCAAGTAGTATAATAAAAAAAATTAAAACATGAGTGCCTCCAGGCAACTCCCTTGACAAAATATAAATTATAAAATAACTACCTATGCTCTGACTGGTTTGCTAAGCTGGTTTGAAACTGATCAATGCTTTAAAAATAGTTCTATATATGTTATTTATAGTGTATACGTTATTGTATGTAACGTAATAGGCTATATAAAAAAAGACTAATATTTGTTAGTAATAACAATAAACTTGTTCTGTTAAAAAAATTCTGTTACAAGGTGTAAAAAAGCAGCTGGTGCCTGTTGTCAGTAGATAGAAACACACTCACACAACATTAATATTAAATTAACATGTAAAAAGCAACAATTAATAAATGACTAGTATTCAGTTATTATTTGTATCATATTTTTTGAAGGAGATGGCTTTTTCCCCAAACAAGCTATTTTTTAATTCCCCATGAAGAATTCCTGCTGGGGTGTCTGGCTTAAATTACTACTGTGTAGAACTGTAGATATGTAGAATTTGAATGTAAATTTAAATAAAATAAAAATCATGGTTCATAGAAGTAAAAAACCAAAGAGAATGCTATGGTGGTGCAAGTACAGGTAGTAGTGGTACAAGTGAAGAATACACATACCTCAGAGCGATGTTTACTGTGTGAGAAGATTAGCCTCACTGTTCCATGATTACCAGTAAATTGTCCTAGTAAATCATCTTAAGTGAATGCTCTCTTCCTGTTGAGCTGCCCAACCCTGCCCTAAGCCTCATCCAAATTAAAAATATTCTGAATAAATGCAGCTTTGAATACCACTAACCTTACTACAAGTCATTTGATTGTAAAATCAATAAGTTATACTTGAGTTATAAATAATTTACTATATATGAATAATGAAATTAGTTTTACATTTAATTGCCTAAAACTATCAACTCTAAACTAGAAAGGATGGTGCTATCGCGTTTGTTGTTCTTCACTATAAATATAAACCTCATCATCACTACCAACTGGTGAATTGTGAAGATCTTGAGCTGAAGCCACCTTAAGTTATTTACAAAAACCATTTACAACATAGAGTTGGGTGAGTTTGGGACAAAAAAGTGAATTTTTGGTAGTGTGTCTTATATTTTCCCACTTATATAATTCAGCAGATTTTCAAATTAAATACATCTGTGGATGGGCAGTTTGAAGTTGTGTCCACAACTTGTTGAAGTGTAAATAAACGAGCTTCTATACCCTACGGATGCATTGAACGACGTCCAAGTGCCACGACGTCTAATAATATTATTCAGTGTCACAACGTCCAAAATATAATTTTTGAGCTGTTGCACGACGTCCAATATAAAATATTTGACTGTTGCACGATGTCCAAGTGCCACAACGTCCAAACGTACAGTAACTGCAAAAAATATAGTCCTTCTACAAGCATTGGACGTCATGGGATTGGTCGTCGTGTAACAGCACACTTTATATTCTTTGAAAAAAAGTAGCAGTTGCATGACGTCCAAAGCCCCTGCTATGCCTTTTGCACGACGTCCAATAGCTCAGCGTTGTTGCACGACGTCCAAAGTTCCTGGACATCGTGCAACAACTCAAAAATTATGTTTTGGAAGTTGTGGCACTGAATAATATCATTGGATGTTGTGGCACTTGGACGTCATGCAACACTCCCTACGCTACCCATGCTTCGCAACGGGAAGAGAGCGCAGAAGAGAGTAATGATGCTATTGAAATCTCCTGCATTAAATATTTGCACATCTATTATTCATTATTAGAATAACAACTTAATATTACCACCTAGTGAGGTAAAATTCTTTTTTTTTTTATTTACAACCTGACTCTGCTGTTGTTAAGCCAACAGACTGTAGTGCCAATTTTGCAGGTCGTTGGAGAAGGACAGTGGCATCCACTGCAACCTGACTTTGCTGTTCTCGTTCGCACAGGCTGTGGCTTGTGCTGAGGCTGGCGTAACCCTCATCTCTCCATTCGTTGGGCGCATTTTAGACTGGTAGCTATCCCTTTATCTCTAACTTAATACTTGTAAACTTAATGGGTACCTTACAATATTATTAGTTATAAGTATATTTAATGTCTTAGTGACTAAAAGAGCATTTAAAAGAGCCATCAAAACCAACAATATAAACCAACTAATGGAGTGCTGGCTCAGTAGGGGACCGCGTCTCGTTGTCCCTCCGTCTAGTTGTACCTACGTCTACTTGTACCTCGAGGACTAGGGACAACTAGTCGTAGGTACAACTAGACGTAGGTACAAGTAGACGGTGGCTCACCCGACTAGTTGTACCTGCAGATTTTTAGGAGGTACAACTAGACATAGGTACAAGTAGACGTAGGTACAACTAGACGTGTATCCCACCGACAAGTAGTATCACCTAGCTTGTACGGATGCGACCAGTTGTCCCTACGACTAGTAGTCCCTACGACTAGTAGTCCCTACGACTAGTAGTCCCTACGACTAGTGGTCCCTCAGTCTAGTAGTCCCTACGTCTAGTTGTACCTACGCGTATTTTGCGTCCTTATAGTCTAGTTGTATCTATCCTTCAATTCGTTACCCTGTTTAATTGATTACTGCACGAGTACTTTTTAATAATACCCTTAATTAAATCAGGAACTGCAATGTTCCGAGTCGATTGAGTATGATTGGCAAATATTTTTCACCGCAATACGATGTTTTAGTAGTTTTACGGACGTTAATTGGAGGCTGAAAGCTACGCATTGCTGTCCAGGGTCGAAATGGCAGCTATAGTTGTGATTAAAATTTTCCAACCCTAGTACCGAAAATCGCTTATTTAATTAAAACATTTATATATATATTTAAATATACAAGCAGTATATCCCTATTGAATTGCAATAGACCGCTGCCCAGCAATTATGTTTTACTATTTTTGCTGATTCCTTTAAATATTTTTTCACATAACCGTAAAGTATTTGCATTGATTAGTGTGCATTTCTTATAGTTTACAATGGATTTCCCAGTGATCAATGAACAATGAAGTGTACAATGAAGTTGAGGTCCAGCGGTTGAAAACTCGACAAAAACTATGCAATGTACTACACATACTTCTCCATTTAACATACACTGTAAATAATAAATGCGATTGGAATATGTTCCATTTGATTTTATTTTATTTTCATAATTAGTTGTTATTTCGTCACCAGCATAGCAACCCGTTAAACCCATGTTAGTTTTAAACATTTGTAATTCTTTTTTATGTCTTTTTAGCCTATTTTAATTTATAAAGGCATTCTGTAGATCGACAGGAAAATACATTTCCACCGATATGCGGATATTTTCTCTGTGATGTTCACGAGCTGATAAAAAGGTTGCAAAGAAACATGCTTGCCTACATTATTGATATATTTTCTCAGTTTTGTATAGTTTGGTGAAAAACAGCAATCGTACCACGGACCGATTTCATCTTCGTCTCGAACTTAAAAATGATCCCGAGCTGGAAAAAGTCATTTTCGGCCCTAGGTACGAAATATACTCTTAAACTATCATAGGATCGGTGAATACCAAACTCTATCTTGGAATTGCATACACTCGCTCCTATCTTTAAGTTTACGTTGTTGTCCTACAATAAATGTATAAATAAACAAAAAAATTCACAAGTTTTGTTGTAAGTACCTATATCATGTATAAATAAAAACATACAATAGCATCATGTGTAAGTGTATTCTGTAAAACTTTAAACAAATATTAGTAAAATAGTTTTCAGGCAAACTATTGTTGAATGAATTAGTTTTAAGTTGTTAAATTAAACTCGACCCGTGCTATATGTTTAATGGCGTTTGTTCGGCAAAATACCATAGTAAAATTAAATCAAATAAATAAAATCAAAAGCAATTCATAACAAAAGAATAATAGATACAGAATGAACGAAATTTCTGAAAATCGACAGGGCCCACATATGCGAAGCCTGTGCGTGGGGACCGAGTTGACTCAATAATTGGCAATTTGTCATAGTCTTGTAACATAATTTACTACCACTATTATAATTATCAATACATTTTCTGAGGAGAAACAAACGTCCGATTATTTCTAAACAGCCACAACAGATAACTTTAGAAAACTACGTTATAAGAATTAGAACAACTAAAAAATTAAAATGTTAACATGATTTGTTTAGCCTAACGAAGAAAATCATGAAAACCAAATTTAACTCCCATAAGAAAAAATGGGGAGCAATTTCGTTTACGTATAAGCCGAGTGAGATAATAGAAAAATATACGCCGATGCTTGATGGCAAATCTGTGCGTGCATACCTTTAATTTGAGACCTCAATAATAAAAATGGTCGGGTAGCAGAGCCAAACGAATAACCCATTTTCTTAAATTTATAAGATTATTTAATTATTTAGTTATTTCCGCCCCAGTGACTCTGGAGTTTCCCATGTTAACCCCCATATTTACTCATGTTTAAATGGAATTAATGAATCTTAACAGCTGTTTCAATTAAACAAGTTGGTTCTGTTCTATGATGTTTAATAGCATTAAAGTTACAAGGATCACCAACAGGGTGCAGCACTATTATTTCTTTTACATTTATGACAACAGCTAATTTGCAACCAAAAGGTGAGTGAGCGTAGGGAACGAACTTCAACCTGGAGGCGAGTTAGCGTAGTAAACGAGCTAACCTGAAGGCAAGTGAGCGCAGCGAACGAGCTCCAACCTAAATGTGAGTGAGCGTAGCGAACGAACTTCAACCAGGACGTGATTGAGCCATGCGAACGAGCTCACTTATGAAGTTAAACGGGGCAAAGCCCGCGGGTACAGCTAGTAACATATACATTTTTAATTTGAACTTGTAATATTCTCCGTGACTAATACCGTACAAAAGCACTTTGTTATACTCAATTACTTGTTTTTGTAAACTCTGAATTTATTTATTTAAGATAATTGTTTAAAGTTGTTGTTTAAGCTAGTTAATGTTAGTTTTCTATAGAAAGGTAGAGTTTAGTGGAAAAAACAATGATAGCAGATCTTGACAAGAAATAAGGAAACCCAAAGTGTAATATGGATAAGGACTGACCAAGGGACACAAGTACGTTGTTATCAAGAACAGGGGTTTCTCAATGAGCTGCAGACAAGCCAAATTTTCCTGGCTTTTGTAGCAAGTTGTTTATAATAAATTGTTTTAAGATTGTATGATTTTTAAGGAAATAAAATAAATCCCTTAAACTGGTGACAAGTTGAAGGGGAGATACAACTAGCCGCAGGTACAACTAGACGTAGGTATAAGTAGGCGTAGGTACAACTAGTCGTAGGTACAAGTAGTCGTAGGTACAAGTAGTCGTAGGTACAAGTAGTCGTAGGTACAAGTAGTCGTAGGTACAAGTAGTCGTAGGTACAAGTAGACGCAGACGTATGAGGTACAAGTAGACGGTGGCGTTCCCGACTAGTTGTACCTGTAGATTTTTAAGAGGTACAACTAGACGTAGAGACAACTAGACGTAGGTACAACTAGACGTCCGCACCATCGTCAAGTTGTCTCTACAGCTTTGGACGGGGTACAACTAGACGCCTGTCACCAAAATGCAGCAGGTACAACTAGACGCCGGGACAAGTAGACATCGCCCCCTCAGTAGTTGCCATGTTGCTCTGTTAAAAAGTAATATATAGATAAAATATTTCTAATAGGGATGGTCAAGTCTCGAAATTTCGGGAAATTTTCGGGAAATTTTAAATCTCGTTACACGAGACGAGATTTCTTTTTGGCCGAGATTTTTATCGAGACAAAAATTAAAAAAAAAAAAAAAAAAAAAAAAAATTAAAAACGCCTGCAGAAAGTCAATGCAATACCCGCAATACAGGAGCGTGTTGTAGTTGCGTTTCCTTTGCGAAGGCGTTCTTATTTAATTAATTCTATAAATGTAAATATTACTCTAATTATTTTAATAATATTACTTTAATAACATTTGAGAAGTTTTGTTAAGTGTAAGCAGTGTGAGGAATGTTTTATTACTATAAAAAGTCAAAACAAGTAACTATTTTTTATAAAAATTAATATTGCTTTTATTTTATGATTTATTTTATTTTAGGATAAGTTGAACTCTATCCTAACTGATATCACTATGTTTCCTAATCGTAGGCATTTTTAATAAGTTAGGCGTGATTAATAAAAAAATGTTATGCTGATGTTTTTTAATAAAAGATTGTAAATATTCTTGCATATTATCATTATTTTTGTATTTAAACAGTCATCTAACAATGTTACAAAATCAGGTAAAAATTTTGAACGTGCATTTCCCGTTGTGTATGAGAAGGGAAATCCCGTCTCGATCTCGTCTTGAAATTTTATGAGAAATAAAAAATCTCGTCTCGTCTCGTCTCGAACTAAAAATTCAATCTCGTCCATCCCTAATTTCTAATGCATGACAAAACTCTTTTTACTATTCAAAGCTCTGTGCCTATTTTGTTTCTTGCTGAAAATTACCTATTTGAACTCTTAAAAACTACACTTTCACTAAACTTAATTTTAGATGATTTTAGACAACTGTAATTGCTAATTCCAAATTGTACTTGGTAAAATAATAAATAATAACATAAACTAACCAACACAAGTAGACTTATCATCCCATTGTAAATGTTAAAGCTCAGTGACTCTAGCTAGGTCTCTAGTTCATGTCTGGTGACACTTATCGCTAGTGTTTTTTGAAATTTTGTTTATTTTATTCTGGGGTTAATTTAATGATTTTTGCTTTATTATTATTTTATCTTTTGCTGGACAGTTTACTCGAGGGTGTCTGAATCCACCACAAAAATAGCATTTTGAACGTACAGCTCCTACAGTAGGGTCGTGACTAACATTCATGGTTTTATCAGTAACAGGGTCCTTAGTCAATGAGTAATTTGAAACAGCATTTATTGTTGCACAAGGAGTGTCATACTGGATGGAATGTAGTTGGGCCAACTCCAAAGCATGAGCTTGAGCATGAGCATCCGCTAAAGTCAACTTTTCATTTTCAAGTATGCGTTGTCGTATTGCAGGACTTAGTAGACCTCTAATAAATGAGTCATGAATACAGTTGAATGAATACGATTTTTCTCTGCTGTAACTGCTTTAAATTGACAGTCGGGACTGAGTAATCTTAGTGATTGTAAATACCAGTCAACAGTCTCATTTGGTTCTTGTCGGCGAGTGAAAAGTTTATGCCTAGCAAAAACCTCGTTTACAGGTTTAACAAATATATTTCTGAGGACAGTTAGAGCTTCATTGTAAGAATTGCATTGACTTAGTATATTTCGTGCCTAGGTGCGAAAATGAGGTTTTGCCAGTTTAAGATCATTTTAGCAAATTCCCCATATAGGGAATACGCTATTACCATAGTACTCATGGTAAGAACTGGACCCAGGACCGATTTACTTTTTTGTTTTCATGTCTCTGGAGGCCTCAAACACCATCCGTTCAATTTCATATCTGTATATATATCTATCTGTTAGCACGATAACTTGAACAAAAATGAACCGATTTTGATTAAATCTTCTCTATAAAAGAGGAACTATGTACCTATGTATCATGTATGTATATATATATATATATATATATATTAGGGATGGACGAGATTTGATTTTTAGTTCGAGACGAGACGAGATTTTTTATTTCTCATAAAATTTCGAGACGGGATTTCCCTTCTCATACACAACGGGAAATGCACGTTCAAAATTTTTACCTGATTTTGTAACATTGTTAGATGACTGTTTAAATACAAAAATAATGATAATAGGCAAGAATATTTACAATCTTTTATTAAAAAACATCAGCATAACATTTTTTTATTAATCACGCCTAACTTATTAAAAATGCCTACGATTAGAAAACATAGTGATATCAGTTAGGATAGAGTTCAACTTATCCTAAAATAAAATAAATCATAAAATAAAAGCAATATTAATTTTTATAAAATAGTTACTTGTTTTGACTTTTTAAAGTACAGTAATAAAACATTCCTCACACTGCTTACACTTAACAAAACTTCTCAAATGTTAATAAAGTAATATTATTAAAATAATTAAAGAATTAATTAAATAAGAACGCCTTCGCAAAGGAAACGCAACTACAACACGCTCCTGTATTGCGGGTATTGCATTGACTTTCTGCAGGCGTTTTTAATTTTTTTTATTCTCGTCTCGATAAAAATCTCGGCCAAAAAGAAATCTCGTCTCGTGTAACGAGATTTAAAATTTCCCGAAAATTTCCCGAAATTTCGAGACTTGACCATCCCTAATATATATATATATATATATTCATGTACCTTGTGGACTCCAAAACCGCTCGACAGATTGCAATGAAACTTAACTGGCATTATTAAGCATTATTCAAGGATGGTTTGTGTGAAGTTTGGTGCAGATCCGCTAAAAGGGCTCCGCCCCAGAGGGTTTTAAGTAGGCCAATGTCAGACTTTTTGAACAATGTTTACAAATAAATATAGGCTGTGTAGTTTATTTTGTAAATTATTGCATGCTCGACTTCAGAATGATGATTATATAATTCAAAATAAAACACTTAAAGTTTTTAGGGATGACCGTTGTAAGCCAACATTTTGATTTATCCGATCTAGGTCTGCTCCTGTTAGGGTTGGTTAGAGGGGGTTCTACTGTATGTATTTTTAGGAAGTTGTAATTTGAAACTGAACCAGGGTAAAAACAATTCCATAATGTGTAATATAAAAGTTGTCATATATGTGTTTGATTGATTCAAAACAATTTTATGGTTCAGAACAATACTGCATTGCAAGTTTGATCGTCATTTAGTCTTAAATATAATCAAGAGTACATTGTTCCCACTTTTAAGACCCAGGCAATAAAGATTTAAAGATAAGATTAAAGTGTAATATGGCCTAACAGTGCAGGCAATTGTTCAATTGCTAAGAAAGTAAAAATAAATACAATGTTAACTCTCATTGTTCATTAGTTCAATAAATAACACATCTGCCTAAATCCTAAAGATGTGTTAAGACTTAAGAGGTATGTAAGGGGTTTTATCTGCTTCCCGGGAAAAAATTGTGGGCGTGTTGACTAACCCAAATACATAATGCAATGGGCTCTAACATTTTTTTAAGTAACCAAACCACTTAATAATTGCAAGTTGCGCCTATGAGACTCATGTAGAAGTACTTTCAGGGCATGAGAATTGCTCACTGTGCCCTCTGCCTCTAAATTTTAAATGTGGCTAATATTTTACAACCATCGGTACAGTAGTGTTGTATTTTTAAATAAATGTTACTTGGGATGTTAGCTTCAAACAGAAAAAGTTAGTTGTTCCAATGGAAAACAAACTTTAAGCCTTGAAAAGGTTCATAATTGAGAAACTTACAAGTGTTTATTATCTTTGCAATTGTTTTATTTGACATTTTTTATGGCTGGCCCCTGTCTGCCTATCCCAATTTTTGTGTCCAGTTTCAGTAGGATAACCGAGGCTATTGTTGAACATAAAGCAATTACAATGCTATTATTTATCAATAAGTAAAACAAAATGATTTATCACTCATTGCCCACTGTGGGAATTGTGACTATTGAATCATGATCCTACTAACAATTGATTACTCACTCTATGTCATGGGTGATTTTCAGGTATGTGGCCAATACAGACAAGAAGGTATTTGCTGCCCAGGAAGACCCAGGTGTCCAGTCAGTCTCTAAGATCTACAACTACTACAAGAAGTATGACTACAAAACTGTTGTAATGGGTGCATCCTTCCGTAACATTGGTCAGTAGAATGCCAAATAAATTACCTTATTGTTCTCAGAAGTTGGTCTATGATTAGTAAACTTCAGTGTCATTAATAAAACTAAATACAGTTCTTATCAATCATTTGTCTACATTTAGATTTATGTTAAATTTATTATAATTTGTTGACATTTTACAAATAAAAAAGTTAAATATCCTAGCATTAGATAGATAAACACTAGTGATGGTTCAGTACAACTTTTTCCAAAGTCGGTACCGGGACCAAGTTCTAACCAAAATCAATTCTCGGTTCTGGTATCATCAGTACCTCATTTGAAATTACTTAATTTTTCAAAATAAAATTGCTGTATATTAACTTTTAAACTGATTATTTTGCATTAGTGTCGGTTGGTCACACTTAGGGATAAAGAAAATAAAACTAATTTGAATTTGTTGAAGAAAAACACTTACTTTTCGATGAATCCGTTGTTAACCAAACACATTCACATTAAAATATATAGCATACTAGTACCAGAAGTGTAAAATATGACAGAATATTTACATGTATGGTATGTACAAAGTTAAATTGAGAACGATTTTATATACTGTGCTTAGAAATAAGTAAAAATTAGTATATTTATTCCTTGTTGAATCAATTTACTGCTATTATAATAAATGTTACATGCTAACCTTAGAAAGAAAAGTGCATCAATAAATTTTTAAAACTACTGCTCGATAAGTTATAGCTAAATATTTAGTAGGAAATTATTTGTAGTCATTTTGTATCTAGGATGTGCATTTAATTAATTTTAGGTTTCAGTATTAAGTAGGTGTAAAAAAAGTGTTCATGGTAAGGACATTTTGAAATAAAGCAAAGAGGTCCATTCTTCAATTTGTATAACAAAGACAACGCTAAACTGTAACTTTTACTCGAGAAATTGACAAGGAGAAAGACAAACATAATCGAACCCCCAAATAAAGCATGCAAACAAATAAAAGCCCTTTTTAGTTTGCTGAATGCAGGCTTGACTGTTTCTCTTGTAGCCTCATCGATAAATGTCATCTGTCAAAATATGAAATCCTAGTCTTACACAGTGTTGCCATTTGTCACTATGGTTACAGTTCAAATGTACAATACAATTTGTAGTGTATACAACATGTCCATATCATAAGATGGAAATCATGAATACTCCAACATTTTACCATTGGACAAAAAATATGAACTCTGGCCACTGACTGGACCGAGTCAGTTAGACTAAAGAGTCCAAGTTTTACTTTCCACGCCATTTATGTTGCTATTCCCATAGTTCTTACAAAACTAAATCAAATAAAAAACTGTAGGAGTTAAATAATCTTGTAGCTTATTGCAACTATTATCACTGTTATTAATAATCGACCTAAGGTAAGGAAATTATGATTTGGTAGTTAAATGAAGCCTAAATAAACCATTTATTTGATCGCCTTATTTAGCTTGCCTTCTGTCTTCTGCTTGGAGATGGTGGTGCAATTGCAGTTGATGTTTGCACTTTAGATTCGTGGTGAAACTGTGATCATATACCACAGTTGATGTGACATGATGTATTGACACGGCCATCGTGAGTTTTCGACCTTGTAAATTTTACAGAAAGCTTATGTAATAATTTATTCTCCCGAGATTCAAGTAAAATAATTAATGTATACCAATCTGTCTAAAAAAGTACAAAACTATTAAAATTGCAAAAAAAAACAGAAATAAAGATGTCTGAAATGTCCACATCCTTGATTTTGAATGTACAAGGATTTTCCAAAAAATCTTTGTTTATTTATCCAATATTTTGAATCCTACAGCTGAGATTGACTGTTGCAGGAGAGATCAAGGCATTGGCGGGTTGTGACTTACTCACCATCAGTCCAAAGCTGCTGGAGGAGTTAGACAACTCCAACGAACCTGTTAAAGAGATGCTCTCTGAGAAAATTGGTAAGCTGAGAAAACTAGTAAGACAACATTGATATTTCTGTACTTTCTGAAAAGACTGGTAAGTTTTTAGCCCAGGGTGGCTAGTGGTCGCGAATTAGTATTGAATATCAAAATGGTCTTGAAAAGTAGGGATTTAGTCTTTTATTTTGTCGTCACAGTCGGGAATTTTATGGAACATGTAAAATCCAATCAAATATTCATCATTTTGCTGTAATCGCACAAGATGACGACCACATTTGCGTAACTGCGGGAGACGATGATACTGTTTGTACGTCCGCGGGAAATGTTCATGATTTTTCCACGATCGTGTAAGAGGACGATCATGTTTCCTCGACCACTGGAGACAATGATGATGTTTTAATGGCCACGGGAGATAATCTTTAACTAATCAGATTCCTTTAAAGTAGAGGTGTGCGGATAGTGAAATTTCATTTCGGATCGGATAGTTGAGGCTCGGTTCGGATCGGATCGGATATTGGGAGGTTCGGATTAGGATATTTTCGGATTCGGATAGTTCGGCGCGGTTAGAAATAAGCTGCATATGTATTTTTTACCTATAAAACAATGTAAAGCTGTGTAAATCAACTTAAATGATGATTTTGAATTATAGAATTTCAAATTAGCCAAGTCCACATTTTTTTCTCTCTTGAAAATCACAATTCACAACATTTATTTTCAAAAGTTGGTTGCTTGAATTAAGTACACTAGCAGCCGAAATCTTCACACAACACCTTAGCTCAGCAGGACTGATGTCAAACGTTTGGGCTTGTTTACTTGAGATTATGTTTTATGTTGTTTGCTGGTTCTCACAAGACAAGGAGTTCGATCTCAAGTTTATTTTCACATTGTATTTCCTGACGTTTTTGGAAAGGATTACTGGCCTTAAGTGGCATTTTGCGGGTTTGCCAAGTTTAGAAAACATCACTAATGCACTAAGCTGGGCTCTAGCTCACGATTTAATGTTGGGCAATTAGGCTTTATAACTCTGTAAAAGGTGTGTATCCCTGAATTTATAAATTTCATTCTACACTTATTCACTGCCAAAAATAATTCAGTAGAACCTTGATGAACCGAGAATTACACTAGCCTACATAACTTCATTACCCCAAGTAAAATACCAAGATAATTTTTACTTTCTCCCCCTATACCATAGTATATGGAGAAAGTATTGTTTTCGTCAAAATTTTCGAGTTTGAGTTTTGAGTGGATATATTCGTTTTGGGTCCCCCTGAACCCAAAAAAGTGGTTTTCGAAGTGATGTCTGTGTGTGTGTGTGTCTGTGTGTCTGGATGTGTACAGAGCTAGAGACCACACCTGTGGTCCGATTTCAATGAAATTTGGTGTGTAGGTTCTAATCCACGGTATCTCCAGGAGTTTTTTTCATTTTTTTGAAATTTTGATTTTTATGGGGATTTTACCATAAAAACCCATAAAAAACCGGAAAAATCAAATTTTCTCAAAAATGGCCTGAACGATTTTGATACAAATTTAGTATGTTGCAGCCCTTTAAATTCTGAACAAAATGGTACAAATCCCATTTCTCAAAAAATTACGGTTCTAAAGTTACGGTAAATTATGTTATTTTCCCAAATAAAACCCATAAAATAACGAAAAATAGGATTTTAGAAAAAAATCCGGTTTTTATTTAACATAGTATTTTATGGTCCTTAAAAATTTGATAGTTTTTCAATATTTTATAAATTTTGATTTTTAATGGGGATTTTCCCATAAAACCCCATAAAATAACGGTAAAATAAGATTTTCCCAAAAACGGCCCGAACGATTTTAATAAAAATTTAGTATGTTACAGTCCTTTATATTCTGAACAAAATGGTACAAATCCCATTTCTGTAAAAATTAGAATTCAAAAGTTATTGTAAATTATGTTATTTCCCATAAAAACCCCACAAAATAACGGAAAAATTGGATTTTAACAAAAATGGCCCGAACGATTTTTATAAAATTTAGTATGTTATAGTCCTTTAAATTCTGATCAAAATTGTACTAATCCCATTTCAGTATATTTACTCTCACCGCGTACACATGATAAAGGTTGTTGACAAACTTATGGGAGAAAGTATGTGTCAGAATGCTGATACCGTTTATTATAATTGTATTTGAATAATCTTCGTATAATCTTAGTTTGTTAAAAATGGATTGCATGTTCAACAATTGCAGTCCATTATTGTTATGCAGTAAGGTCCAAAATTATTGTTTTAGATTTTGAAACAGCACAGTTCATTTGACAAAATTATAGTTGAAGCAACCCAATGTCAAGTCACCCTTGTGCAATAGTTTGTTTACAAGCTTTCTCGAGACCACTGGGGAGGGGGAGGCCGGGGAGGGTCGGATCTGATAAGCCGTCTATTGTTCACCCCCAAGAACATTCGATCCTCATTAGTGACGCTCGGCTGCACTCAGTGGGGAACCCAATACCACAAATCAATCTTTTAAATGAATACAAATATTTGGTAATAATTGTTTTATTAATATTCACCTTGAAATTTCAATAAATTTTGTGTAAAATTTGACAAAAATCTTCCATTTTGACCGATTATTAATACAGTACCAAATACCAAGTACATTCATTTGTAATTATATATAAATTCAAATTTATTTAAAAAAATTGAAATCTTACTACACATTGTAGTCTGCTGTAGAACAAAGAATAATATTACATTAAATTTTGCAAGTTTGATTAAACCTAATTATGATAGTTGTTATATAGGTGGTTTCTTATAATATTAATAGAAAATTTTATGGCTGTTAAAGATATTAAATATAGCACTTGATTTTCCAACTTGAATTTCTTCCAAAATTTCTCAACTTGTTGAGGAATTGTTCCTCTTGATCCAATGAGTAGTCCATATACTTCGAATTTTGATATTTTATATTTCTCTGAATAATATGGGATAGTTTTCTTGTAAATATTTACTTTTTCTTCATGGACTTCCTGTGGCTGATTTTCATTTGTCTCAAGACGAACTGTTGGGTCTATAATGAGACCGAAATCTTTCTCCTTGTCTATAACAATGATGTCACTCCGCCTCACAGAGCCCTCTTCTTCTATAGCCGTGACTTCTTCATAGACCTCGTAACTTTTCTTTCTGAATTGATCAGCTATGATTTTTCTGATGGTATGGTGGCGGGTATTTCGTAGAAGACTACTAAATGGGCACTTTCCAAGGACGTGGGCAAGAGTTTCAAGAGTAAATTTCTCAGATACAGGACAATGCCTGCACTGGTTCCCGTCCCTGGATCTCCCATGAAGACTTCTAAGAGGAATAACGTCTCCGACCATTTTCAAGTATTGTTTGAACTCAGCTTCTGTGAGGCCACAACCTCTAGCCAAATTTTTATTGATCTTGTTACATTCTTTGAAAAGAACCACCCCATTCCCTTTGTATGGAAGTTTACACCAATTTTTATACTCTAAGTCTCGTAAGGTTTCTCGCAGTATCTTGGGTTTTGATTCAATAAATTCAATACTTAAATTCAATTTTTCCAGACAAAACCTAATTTCTTCGTCAAATTGACGAATATTAGGTAAGTAGGGGTTTCCCGTTTGTTTTAATACGCGACATATGTTTATATGTTGGATTGATGATTCCCACATTGATTTACATAACCCAATCCCTTTGTTTTTAGTACTTGTATAAAACATAGAATTTGGCATATCATTTGGAAGATCTAAGATTTCCTTTGTTGTTGATCTTATCACTTTATCAACATCGTCAAAGAATTTCATTGTAATTTTCTTAATTGGTGCGGTTTGAAAAGGATATATTAAAGATGGCCAAATATTATGATTCAATACATACATTTTTTGTTCAGACCTTAAAAAAGGAGAACATGTTAATTTTTCAATTTTGTTTATCAATGAACTAATTGTTTTTTCAGAGTCAAATACTATGCTTTCAGAAAAATTTACTCCTAAGTATTTAATTTTTTCATTAAATGTTATAGATTTTATTTCTTTTGAACATATTTGGAAGTTTTCCTCTTGTAATCTACCTTTTTCAATGTTAATAATTTTAGTTTTTGATATATTTATAGTTAATCCAATTTCTCTGAAGAAGTCACAAATCGAATCGAATAATACGAGAGCACTTTCTCTATTCTTACCAATTAAAATGGTATCGTCAGCGAATCCTAGAATACTTAGAGAAGGCATGTCCTTGCATAGCTTATACCCTAGCTCCTCACTTACGGCATGTTGTGACATTTCAGAGAGGATATGGTCAATACATAGGTTATACAAAGTGGGTGACAATGGAGATCCCTGCATTACACCCCTTTGTATTTTGATGTCCTTTGTTTTCCCTCTATGAGTTTCAACTTTTGTAACATTGCCTATTTGGAGTTTAATTATTATTTCAATCAGTTTCCTAGGAATAGGTAGCTCCTGCAAGACTGAGGATAAGTGGTTATGGCCGATATTGTCGTACGCTTTCTCAATATCCAGAAACATAATACAGCAGTCGGTTTTCTTTGATTTTGCTGATCTCAATACCTCATTTAGAATACTTGTATTAAGATGGGAACCAGGGGTATTAGAAAAACCTCCTTGAAACTGGTTAAATTTGATATATTCTTTTAGTCTTTTGTCCAATATTTTTTCTAATATCCTCCTTAAAACAGAACATATTGTGATTGGTCTCCAGTTATTAACCTCTTTTTTGTCTCCACCTTTATCAATTAAAATAGTTCGTGCTCTTTGAAATGATGAAGGTATCTGGTTTGTAAGGTGTATTGTGTTATAAATTGAACAGAGGATCTTTGCTACTTTCTTAAGTTTTACAATTCTCATTAATATATTGTCAGGTCCCGGAGAAGTGTCAATTTTTATTGCATTTATTGCTCTCACGACTTCTTCTACAGTAAGTTTTTGATTATAATGCGAATCTAAGTCTTTCACTATTGTGTCTTCCACATTGTTATATGACATTTTCATATTTTCATTTGGATTGGAGAAACGTGTGGTAAAACCTTCGTGTAAT